TTTTTTTATCCGGCTTATTGATTCTCGGGTACCGATAAGTCGGTGCGTCGCTTTGTCGGCGTTCTTTATGTTAGTGATCCGTTTGATATTGTTTTTGTCTTTGTTGCTCTGTTTTTTCTTTTAATTGTCGTCCTCCACATTGTCCATTTCTCATTCTCCAATTTTGTGTCTCTTTTAAAAGGAATTGTTGTACGCTTCTTGTTAAAATGACTCGACACTTTCGTAAGAGCTTTTGCCATTTTGAAAAGGAACTCACCTGTGGTAGTGCTTTGTATAATTCTTATCATTTAATCCGTGACTTACTATCGCACCACACAGTGAACGTGGAAATCGCTAATAATCGATTAACTACGGGTTACCGAACAACTTTTGGACGAGGACGTACCAATCTAACAGTTCTTTTCTCTTCGGTGGTGCAGTAGTTGTTACATTTAAGTTGTGATTTCCATTTTGTGGCTACATTTTTTTAAAAATCTTTCGCTTAGCGCATACATTCACAGATGTATCGCATGTCTTCTAACTAGGACAGATATCTATTTCTCAAACACCGATTTTGTATGAATAGATATTTAAGTGCTAACCGATCCGCTGGCAGCATGAAAGATGGGATAAGATTCAATGTGAATAATTATTGGTGAACATGTGTTACTGTAACATGCTGTGTTCAGAATATCTTAAGAAGTCATGAGGTTCTATGACTGTGATGTGAGAACGAGTTTCCGCTGCTTTTTACTTCTTCTAAGGAGTGGTACTTGCCAATGTCATTATATAAGGTCTCTTTTTTCGATAATGACCTACTATAATGACTTATAACTGGTATTGGGGTTGATGTAGGTACTGGCAACTGGCGCACTATTGTACGCGTGGTACAGGAGAGACGGGCGTTAGGAACGATTTTGAGTAATCGATTCGCCGCACGCGGTGTTGCGGACCACTCATTCGCCGTTATTACAGCTCTAGCGTTCTTCATACAGCTCAGTCGATATGCGATCATTATTTTATGCATAATTCTACTATTAGTACTTTGTTTTTGTACTTCTCACCCAGTGCTGCATCCTGCTACATTCCTTCGCGCGCGACGCCCCTCCCGCCGCGACGCGACCACTTCGTTCCTAATGCGCCACACCCTCAAGGCTTGGATCTCGAGGGTTCAATCAAACTTTTCATCCATTCGGGACCGTTTCGTTGGTAGAAGACCTGCGTGGGAGGGTAATAATAGTGACCTTTACATCGGCTGTTCATCTCAAGTCATTGTAGAGGCCACATATACACATTCGAAATGTCAACGTGTTTCTGAACTGAAGTAGGATACCGGGGTGTTTTTCTGAGCGGGGATTCATCGACGGCGAAAGGCTCCTTGGTTGGAAGTGGTGGGGATTTCGTGCTGTCCTCGACTAGGACCACTTTAATTTTCTACTGTTTGTCGCAGAATTGCGAAGTGTAGAATTAGATTCCTCGCACGCGAAGGCAATTGTTTGATTGTAGCCTCACGACACTATACTGAAATAGTCGTATTCACTAGCGCTAGGCCCTGCCCCTCGTCAATCAATAATGTGCCGATTTACCGATGTGGCCTATGCATTGCGCGCCCCAATCACCATGGCGTCAGTCAATCTCAGCGTCACGCCACCCAAGTCTAAACCTACATGCCTGGTCGAGCCTTGACTTCTGAACGAAACTTTGTGGTTTACTTCCAAAACAAAGGATACGCGTCCTTCTCGACCAAAAGCAAAATGGCAACAATCGATCAAACTAGGATGGGAATCATAGATAAAAACATACATATTACACACCATAATTTGGTGAAAACAACACCGTTGACAAAAAAAAGGAACGAGACAGATCATCCAAGTCATCTCATAACACAATGAATAGGGAGTGATAGATTCAATCACTGACAGAATCGATTTCATTGGAAAGGGTACAATTACAACTGTAACATTTGATGTTGAAGACAGACAGGAAGATTAAAGCAGTGAAACTTTCTGAGTATCACAGGCGTGATGAAGTGTGATGTGCATCGGAAAGATGCATTTGGACTGGATGAAATGAAGAAAAATATCAAAATTTTGAAAGAAAAATAAAAGCTTTAAAATCGAAATGGCCATATTTACACAACAAATCTCGTCTTCTCTCTCAAAGCATTAAAAATATGGAACACAAATCAGTTAAAGCTATTACCCTAACCTATCCTCAAGGTTAGAATAGGAGATGGCTCCTCAGAATGGAAGAGAGGATTTTTGCCATTGCCGGTAGACTAATGCCTTCTGGATTCTTTCGCAAGGGGTAGTCACGATAATACCCGAGATTGTTCTCTCAACGACGTGCTGACCGACGATCGACGTCGTTGCTGTCCACGTGTTGACAACGCACAACAGATTGCGTTCAGGGCCGCGTAAGCGGTAGCGGTACGGAATGCAATCTGTCCTGCTCTGTCTACACGTGGCCAGCAACATTGTGGGTCTTTTGATCGCCACGTCTTTAAACACTGGAAACATCCGATGACGTTTTAAATAGCACCTAATTGGATAACATTTCAAGAGCAACGCAGCCTTTCTAATGGAGGGATCAAATCCCTTCAGGAAGGCCAGGTGGGAGTTTTGTACCCGAATCCGTAATTACTCACATGAAATTCGAGACATATCCCTACTCTCGCATGCAGTTGTAGTAGCGAGAGCGGCGCGCTTCGGGTACAAGATCCCAGCCCTGGTAGGCTGATCTGTATACTCTCCTGCGGTTGGGAGTACTTTCAATTCTGAGGGAAAGACCTTGGAAAAGTTGCCTTATTCCACATATCCAACTCACCGGTGCCAAATGTAACTCTTCAAGTGATTCTACCTATCATGTAGAGGAGTTGGATAAAAAAAACATCGATTTCGCTGAGGCACAAGTTCTCGGGTAATCCACCAGAAATCCACAGAGTTTGGTCGCCTCTGGAAGAACCAGCTCAGGGAGATCATCTGGTGCGAATTCCATTTTCATTTCTACGATAAAAGTACCAGCCAAGATTGTGCACTCAGTAAAAAGTTCGACGTCAAACACTATCGTGACTACTGGTCCTTGCGAGAAGAGCCCAAGGCAAAGCCCCAGATAATTTCGGATCGGCACCGTGAAACTTTCAAATTTTCATAATCAGTGACGATGAGCAGCTACGAGAAACCCATTTGATACTTCTCTTAAAGGCAACACATTAAATGTTCTCTAACACTCAAACAGAGGGTTTATCGATGAGATTGAGCTTGACTCAATTCGTACGCTTTTACGTGACTACGATTGCCGAAATCCACCCAAACTGGGTTGTCTTGAAAGTGTTGGCGAGTGTGGTGACGTTGTCGAGAGGGAATGAGGTGAAAGCAGACATGCCGACGTTGGTAAGAAGGCAGACTTTTCACCTGACGACAACGACGATACTGAAAAGGAAGAGGGATTGAAACTGAATTTTTGAATCCTTTAACAGCAATGACAAAGCTAAGGAGGATTGTAAGATAGTTGATTCGGATACCAGTATAGTAAAGATAACGACATAGTTGTTTCTACTCGTCCAGTTCACGAACGTGCTTCCCCTTGTTTGGTAATCCGTCCGTCAATTCAATCGATTTTGAAACTTCTTTTTAATTGCCTACCCTTTCCCTCTTGTTTACATTACTGCACTGCACTTTACTTTGTACCCCTCCCCCCATATTTGTCTACTATGCCCTTCTCACATAGGAATGAGCCCTGGAAGTTCGCCCTCGGTTAAATAATCTTTGCACCTATACAGGTCATCTCATTATGGGTTTCTGTATGGGACTAGTAGCTAGCGGAGTACGAGAGTTGGACCCTTTAGTTAACACATAGGTTACTCCAGGGCTAGAATCTCCGATCCAAAACCTCCAATCAATCCAATGAGCCGAATTCGAGTACTCAGATTCCTTCACTAGCACTGAGTGGTCGTGAAAGTTTTTTGTCAAGTCCCTTACCGTATACTTTTTGCTGATTCAAAATTTTTTTCGAAGTCTCCCTATCGGATTGGTCCCAGAACTAACTAGTCTGGACAGTTGGTACAGATCGCTTTCGAGAGCATTTTCACAGGGTTGGAGCCATCAACCCTCGACAATCAAGCTAGATAAAGGGTCCACTCAGGATTGCAAAGTCATCCCAATTAGGTATAATGTGCAAAGTATAGTGCAAAGTCCTAATTATATCCCACTATATCTATGGTTTATATACCTATGGGTACACCTAGTAATTCCTATGGGTATATACCCATAAGAATTAGCTGTTTCCTCTAGTTGGGTAAGGTGCTAAGTTATGGTCACACACTATTTCTGTGCTTGGCTGGCTATGTTCTGTAATAGGCGAGAGCCCGCGGTCACCCTGTATATAAGCACAGCGCATCGGCAAAAGTCAGCACACGGATCTATCAGACGTCAGCGCTATGCTTGACCAAACCGACAACGCATCGTCTCCGTCCAACGGCGATACTATGGCGGCCCTAGAGCACGTCGTTGGGCGCCTGCACAGTCTTAAGGCAGCCGTCAACGAACTGCTGAAGCGGTCAGAGCCGCGATCCTCCTGTATTCTCTGCCCTGTGGCAGGCAACCGCGACGATCACAACATGTCACGGTGCAACAGATTCCCTGGTTCAAATCGCTCTTCGTCTACCTCGCATTATCTTCACGATTCCACTGAACCACCGCAAGGTGTGCATGAAAAGGTTAATCAACCCTCAGTCTCAGCGCCCGCTACACCCGATGCGGTTGCGAAAAGCATGCAGGTGGCGAGGCTCAGCCTTTGTGGTCGTTGCCTCAAACCTGCACACGACGACGATGACTGTGGCGTGCAGTGCGCAGCGTCTGNAGGCAGCCGTCAACGAACTGCTGAAGCGGTCAGAGCCGCGATCCTCTTGCATTTTCTGCCCTGTGGCAGATAACCGCGACGGACACAATACGACGCGGTGCAACCGATTCCCCGAAGCGGTTGCGAAACTGGTCTTTGTGGTCGTTGCTTCAAACCTGCACATGAAGACGACGACTGTGGAGTGCAGTGCGCAGCATCTGGAAGACCACCCAATGTGCTACTGTGCGCCTACCGAGGACAAGGCGGCGGTTTCAAACGACGACGACCATGAGGACGATGGGCAACGCGCTGACACTTCGAAGAAAGAAAAAATAATTTGGTTTGATGTGTAAATAAATTCTAATTTGTTGTAGCCGACGGGATTTAGGCCACAATCCGCGGTCACCCCGCTCCTTAGGGGTGGGATTTAGTCGTCACTGTTTGTCCTGTACTACTCGCAATCAGCGTATTCTGTTTTTTACTATGATAAATATTCTACCATTGAACCTTTCTTCTCACTCGTCTAACAGAGAGATTAGAAATTCCTCGAAATTAGCAAAAAGGCGCCACCCATCCGCATATAGGTCGCCACAGGCTATTTTTCAATTTTTGCCCAAAAACACTGCATGAAAAATGTGTTGGAGGTGACTAACCATCTGGATTTCCACCCATTGCACCAAGCAAGTGATGGATGTCGCCATTAGGTTGTGGCGAGGTTGATCCAAAACTCGACGGTACCGGCGATATTGAGGGTGTCAATGAGAGTTGAGCGATTGGAACGGAGATGTCCAGGGAGGTACCATCTGGACGGACATGAGTACGCAAATGACGTGTGATCATGTCCCGACGACTCTGCAATGAAAATTGTCATCGAATCCGCAGAGGAAGGGAAAAGAGAGTTCCAAATGCCCCAATTTCAACCCGGAAAAGGTCACGCCGGTGAGGTAGCCTCAATTTACTTACAGCTGCATACTGGCACAGAGGGCACTGGTAGGGTTTCTCTCCGGTGTGCGTCCGTTGATGAGTACTGAGATGATCGGAACGGGAGAAGACTTGACCACATAGTTGACAGCTGTATGGCTTCAAACCTGTGTGAAGCCGCATATGCCTGGAAATAAAAAGGAAATATGCTAACAAACAACAACGACAAACAAAAAAACAACACAAACGGAGTTTACTTATGAATGAAATGTCTTCCAAACCGCACCTTGTGAGCATATCGCTCCTTCCAAAACTCTTGTTGCATACAGTACACTTGTGGGATTTCGTACTATCTGCATCAGCGAGTGCCGATGCTGAGCTGAAGGTGAAGACAACAATTAGACGAATTTTTCGGTACGGTAACTGACGAATTTTTCGACACAGTAACAAAATTATTCTATGATGGCAAGCGACTGTTACCCCAGCTTTCCCAAAATAGTAAACCTAAAAAGATTGCTCTACGTACTACGTTTTCCAAATTCAGCAGAGGTGATTGGAAGGTTCCAGTGTGTTTACATAAATGTTTTGTGAGTTGTTTAGTTTAGAAAATTGGTGCCTGCTGCCGTTATGTGACGACTGGGCACAAATAGCTGCTGCCTCTTAGGTTCCGGAATTCTTTCAAAATTCGCGCATAATTCAGCCTGACTTGCTAAGCACTATCTCAGTGGTTCTCCACTCATTTATTTAACATAAACGAGGTAAGTATGCAAAAAACAAACCGATCTCGATGTCGTGATGCAATGTGTTTCGCTAAGCGGTCGTGGAGAGCAAATGCCTATAAAAACAGAATTTGCCCAAATGTCCCATTCAAGCGAGGTTTTATAACGACAACGGCTTTCTAGATGACATAGAGATATAAATTGTTCTTCAATCATTCACCCAAGATTTCGAATGACAGCGGAATTAACGAAAGAAGCGTATCAAGGAACGAACGAATGAGCATCTCTTAGATTTCGCTTCTCGGCATAGAAACCCTGATTATGGGCTACTTGTCACTCGAGGAACTTTGTCCCAGGGCAGGACGGGATATGCTACCATTATTAACATCTGATCGCCTAGGGTCTGCTTCATTCATTCCCCTCTCTTACGCTACTCCTCC